AATGATCTGGCCGGACTTCCATTCCATTGCTTTCAACGAGCTTCCTGGATTTCCTTGTTTGAAGTCTCTCCTGGCCTATGTAAATGCCAATCTGCCAGGTTCAGAGGTGGAGCGCAAGGCGCAAGATCTTCTTCTGGCCCAGCTGGAGAAGCTGGAGCACCTGGAGCCCAGTGAGGCGGAGATTGAGGGTGAGGAGGAAGAGGGTGGGTGACTGGGTTTGGGGAGGGGGCTGGGCTGGGCCACAAAGAGCAGAGTTTCCAGAAGCACGCTGGGGACAGGGGCACTGAGTACTCAGAACAATCATGCAGTGTCCTGCAGTATGGGGAGACTTCCTGAGCCTGGGTCTCTGGACTTGAGCTTCTCAGAAAGACATTGTCATTGGAAGAGACATAGAAACTCATGTTGATATTTTCAATTGTTGTCACTCCAGTTACAGCTTCTGCCCAGGATGAACAACTGTCCCAAGAGCTAATGACATCTTCAGCTCCAGCTTCAGCTCCACCTCCACTGCCAGAGCCAGAGCCTGAGCAAGATCTGGAGCCCAATCCAGAGCCAGAGCAAGAGGCAGAGCCTGACTCAGAGCAAGAACCAGAGCCCAAGCCACAGAAAGATCAGGAGCAAGATCCTGAGCAAGAGCAGGATCCAGAGCCCGAGCCCAAGCCAGAACTAGAGCTGGAGCATGAGCAAGATCCTGAGCTAGAGCCAGAGGCCAAGCCAGAGCCAGAGCATGAGCATGATCCTGAGCCAGAGCGAGAGCCAGAGGGACAGCAAGAGCAAGATCAAAAGCAAGAGGAGGATCAAGATCCGGAGCCTGAGCACGAGCAAGAGCCATGGCCAGGGCCACGCCCAGAGCCAAGGGAAGATCCAGAACCAGAGCAAGAGGAAGAGCCAGAACAAGCTCACCCAAACACCCCTGAAACATCAAAAGGAGAAGAAACACCAGCATCCAGGGGAGCCCTGGCTCCAGAGCTCCCACAAACACCCTCACCAGTCCCCACTCCAGAGCTGTCCTTCCCCTTCTCTGCCACTGTGCTTGTCCTCGTTTTTGTCTTTGTCCTGCATCTCCTCAAATTTCATCATCTTTTCTCTTCACTTATATCCCTTGTATAAAATAAAGTGTTTTAATATTTTCAAAATTACAATTCAGTGGCATGAAGTACATTTCTCATGTGGTGCAACCCTCACCTCTGTCTAGTGACCGAACAGCTTCATCTACTCTGTAGCCATTAAGCTGTCTCTCCTAGTCCCTCACAACCACTCCATTTTCTGTGTGTGTGAATTTACCTATTGTGGATTGTTCCTATCGGGACAGTTATATGTTATGTGGCCTTTTGGGTCTGGCCACATAATATGAGAAGGAACTGATTAATTTTTATTTTATGTTTTTATTAAGAGGAAAATTACAGAAAAATCAAAGACTATATGTAGAAACACAAAGCCCCAATAGTTATTAGTGCCATAATCTTGAAATAGGAACTACTTTTGAATGACTGGAGAGCCAGACACCACAGAGGAAAAGACTGACTTTTCCTGGTCAAAACAAAACAAGAATAATGTCCAAAGCTGAAAAGACAGACCCCAGATTGGAAAATTCTTCATGGGCAGAGAAAGGGTAATACGCATCCTAGTGGTACAAAGAGTTTTCATTTATCCATGTCTTTAAGGGGACAAAGGACATATTCCTGCAGTTCCAAAGGGAAGCAATTCATATGGCCAGTAAATGTCAGACATCCACAACCTCCCTTATGATGAC